CCGCTCCCGCCCGACCCCCCGCCCTAACCCCAGCGCGACGGCAGCTCCGGCGAAGACAACTGCGGGGCCGGGCGGCGGCAACGGCGGCGGAATGTACAGCCGGCTGAGAGGGGGAGGCAGCCTCGATCTGAAGGCCCCGGCGCCGCGGCCACGCCCCTCGCCGCCAGCGCAGCTTGCCGATTGGCCAACCCGGCTCCGGTGCGCTCAGCCAATCGGAAGGGGCGATGGAGAGCGGGGACGGAAAGAGCAAACGCGGAGGGGACGGGAGCGACGCCGGGAGCGGAGCGGGGAGGGCCGAGCGCGGAGCGACCGTGTGGCTTGGGAGGCGGGGAGGAAATGGAAGAGGAGTCGTTGTGAGGGCAGGGAAGGCAGGGGAAGGAGAAGCCCGGCAACGGGCCCGGAACAAGGCGGGGTCCCGGCTGGAAGCCGAGTTGGAGCGGCGTTCTTTCCCGCCGCGTGCGCCCGCTCTTCCGGGGAGGTTCTGGGGCGCGCGCCGGGGCGGGAACCCCAGCGCGGCGGCGGCCGGGCCGGCCTTGGCGGGGCGGTGCGCGCGGGGCCCGGCCGAGGAAGGCCCATTGGAAGGCTCGGGTTCATCGCGGACCGAGTGCCCGCAACAGGTAGGAGCTTGGGACGGGCTGACGGCCGGCGACCACGGCGCCGCGTCCTCGGAACGGCGCCCTGGCACGCTGGGGAAGCTGCGTGGCCGCAAAGCGCAGCAGCCGCTTCTGAAGGCGGGGCGGTGGCGCCCGGGCCAGTGACAACGTCGGAACTCTTCTGCGGAAAAAAGTGAATTCTAAGGATACCTTCTCTACCAGGACCATCATTAACAGAGGCAGAGGTAATACGAGCTGCAAAAGAACGTGCTTGCAATTCCGGAAAAGAGTATAAGGAAATGTTTTAAAACTAAATATACTGGCACCTCTCTTGTGCTCTGCGACGTAGTTAGCGGCTCGGATCAGAAGCAAGAACGTAGGCGTTGGATGTGTTTCTGTAAGTCGAGAAGGAGGAGGAAGCCCTACAGAGTCCTTTGGAATCTTTTCTGTTTCTTTCGGATCAGCAGAACCAGTGCAGAAGTAAACGCTTCGAGTGAGACGTTGTTTAAATACTTCTAAAGTCAAAAGATGGAAATGTTTCTTAAAAAAGAAAAGGAAACCAGTGTGTTTAAACAGTGTAAACGGCAGAGTTGTCTCTGAACAAAGGGGAACGAGGGTAGCTGGAATACGATCGGAGTCACTTAAAGATGATTTTTAAAAAAAATTAGAAGCAGAGTAATATATTTTTAAGTGTTCAGTACTTTGCATACCTTCCACGGGACTGTAGCAAAGAAACTACCTGGAAATAATTTACACTAAAGAGTAACTTGAATGTAAATTGAGTGCAGATCTTAAAATATAAATGATGTTTATTATAAATTTCTATTCACCCCAAGGACCAGTTTAGTTAAATTCACTTTGTGTTTACGTGCAGGTTTAGGATGAGAAACTTAAGTTGTGAGGCTGATGTTACGTGTTTTCCACCATCGTAGACTTGATCATAAACAGGGTTCAAGAAAAAGATTTACTAGTGAATGCTTACTCGGACTGGAAGTTATCCTGTCGGTGTGCATATGTAGATGAATACTTTGTACTTCTTGAAATAAATGTAATTCTTTTCATGATGAAGTAGAATTGTTTACTGTTGTATATCTTCATATCACTCAGATGGAATTAATTGTATTTGATGATTAAACAGCCTGAAATTCTCTCTGCAGAAAATTAAGATGGGTTTGATCAGCATACTAACTGAGAGAGGCAGTACAGTTAGGTGATAACCACATCTTGTAATTTTGTTTAACGTGTGACTGAAGTCTGCCTTGCTCTCTAGACAGTAGCTCTCCGAAGTCAAGGATAATATTTGTGTTGTTGTCTACTGAATACTTAGCACACAGTAGTACTTGCCGCTTGGTGTGCACCCTGTTGGTCAAGCACAAAAACCTAAGCTTTTTCAAGGGTATGTTCTTGAAATTTCAAAATGAACACTTGTTTACATAAATGTGTAAGCCAGGCGTGGTGGTGCACACCTGGAATCCCAGCACTTGGGAGGCTGAGGCAGGAGGATCGTTGAAAGTTCCAGACCAGCCTGCGCTACAAAGTGAGTTCAAGGCCAGCCTAAACTACATAGTGAGACCCTGTCTGAAAAAGTCAAAAATAAAAAATATGTAGATTGAGTTGTTACTGCTTTTAATTTACACAGAATTTCATCCAAGAATACCTGATTTTATGTCATGCTCATTCCAGAGTTAAAATTTAAGAAATAAATCAACTGTTTCAGGGCAGAGCCTTTCATATGTGTAAAAGAGTGATCCATTTTTGGAAGACAAACAATTATCCTTAATTATAATTTGTAGGTAGTCTTGTTTGCTGGCCTAAATTCTTCAGATGAAATTGTCACTGCTCATTGACCAGCAAGTTTATATGTTTAACGTCTGTACTTGCAGTTCATGTAAGATAGAAGATACATAATTTATCAAAGGAATAAGTTTTTCAGGAAGTTGGTAATAGCTCTAAATGTAGCTACAGTAGAATTAACCCTTGTTAGGAAGTTTTATTTATTTTTGTTTTTTTTTTTTTTTTGAGGCACAGTCTCTGTAGTTCAGGGTGGCTTTGAACTCGAGGCAATCCTCCTCCCTTTGCCTTGCAAGTGCTGGGAATACAGATGTATCCCACCATGCAAGCAACATTTTAGAGATTTACTCTGCCTGACGGATGAAATAGTAAAATTCAGATTTGTTAGTATCGTTTTGACAATAGTTTGGATGCTATAGCAAATTATACTGGGTAGCAATTAACATTTATCTCAGTTCTGTAGGATACGAAGTCCAATATCAAGGAGCTAGGAGATTTAGTGTCAGCGGAGGCCTAGGGCTAGCTTCCTGGTTTGCAAAGAGCTGTCTCTGTATTTTCATATGGCAGAAAGCAACCAGAGAGAGAAAACTCTTGTCTCTACCGTTAAGAACAGATTACCTCCTAAAGGCCTCACCCCTTAGTATTATCACATCGGGGAGTACAATATCAGCGTGAATTTTGGGGCACACAAACATTCAGACTGTAAGAAAGAGACTAACCAAATACACAGTTCTAACCCAAACACTAAAACCTATTCTACTTAAGAGACTTGCTTCAAATAAGCTATTCTCGAGCAAGCATGAGGTCCTGAGTTCAATTCCCGATACCAAAGAAAACCCCCCAAAACAAAAACAAATAGGCTATTCTATGTTAGGTAACTTCATATCTTGACTGTTACTTTTGGCATAGGAAAAATACTGTGGAGATACTTATATTCAATGAATCATTGTGTTCTCTTAGAGTCATGTGAATAAAGACACTTTCTGCTTGCAGCAGGTTTTTTCTTTTTTTCTTTTTGAGGCAGAGTCTCGCTATGCAGTTCAGGCTGGCCTTGAGCTCACTTTGTAGTTCAGGCTGGTCTTGAACTCAAGATGATCCTCCTGCCTCAGCCTCCCAAGTGCTGGGATTACAAGCATGCACCACCACGCCCAGCTATAGCAGGTTTGTGAAGGAATTTGTAAACCAACACACAGGGCTTGGGTTGGTAAAATGTATCTCAAAACGAAAAATAATCATTAAGTACTTCAGTTAAACAGTTTGAATTTTTTTTTTTTTTTTTTTTTTTTTGGTCTTTTTGAGACAAAGTCTTTCTATGCAGTTCAGGCTGGCCTTGAGCTCACTTTATAGCCCAGACTGATCTCAAACTTGCTGCAGTCCTGCTGCCTCAGCCTCCCAAGAGCTGGGATTACGGCATGAATTATTATTATTATTTTTTAAAGAGTAAAAGAAGGATAACATAGTAATAGGGGGACTTACAGAATTACAGACAAAGTGGTAGGAAATTATCAATAGTTATTTTACCTATTGGTATCTTCAAGATAGTTTCTCAGGAAAACAGATAATAGTGAGTTACAGACAAAAGTGGTAGGTTATTGTTATTGGTTGTTGTACTATACTTTGGTATCTTCAAAGTGGTTTCTAGAGAAAACAAATAGAGCTATACATGAGTGATTGATTAAATAATCATTGACTATTCTCAATGATTGTTGTTGGAAACACATAGTAGCAAACATACATCCATTTATGAAATAGGATAGGAACAATGCAAACATTACAAAGTTATGGACAGATTGGTAGGAAATTATCAATGGCTGCTGTAATACATGGTGGTATCTTCAAAGTGGTTTCTCAGGAAAACAGAGATATGCAAGAAAAATCTAACAAGTAATTACAGCCTAAGCGTTGTGAAAAACAGCACATTACCTCCTCACCAGTGACTCCTTTCACTGAGGTGTGATGGCTGGAAGGAAGGCCAGGATTGAAAAGAAGGACCGAGAGACTAGCACTAGTGTCCAGCAATAGACTGTTTACTTTTTCCTCTATAGTCATGATTGCCCAGGGCTCCTCCATGGAGATGATGGTCTGGCCAGAGGGAGAAGGCAGAGTATGCTCTAGGCCCCTTCATTCCTGTTGGACCAGCTGGTAAGAGGGGTCTGAGCTCTGGGGCCTTCACTCCAGAGGGCAGTCCGATCTCTAGTGGTCACCATTACAGTCAGGGCATGGCCCAAGGGGCTTCTTAGCTTCTTAGGGGCAGTCCCTCTTGAGGTGGCCTGGCATTTGACAGCGGTAGGAAATGAATGTAGTCGTCGAGTTCTTCTTGGGGCCCCAAGAATCAGACTTAAGGTCTGTTTCTCTTAGTGCTGCAGCAAAAGCAGCTGCTTTTTCTCAGTCTCTTTGTTTTCTCTCCTTGGCTTCCTCATCACGGCTATAAAATACTGAGAAGGCAGTTCTTACTAACATCTCAAGTGAGCTATCTGGGGCAAAAGCCATTTTTTGTAACTTTTTTCTACTCTCTGGGGCTGACTGAGTAATAAACTTATTTTTAAGAATAGTTTGTCCCTCTACTGACCTGGGATCCAGGGAAGTATGCTTTATCAATGCCTCTTGCAAGCAATCTAAGAAAGCAGAGGGGTCTTCCCTTTTTGGGGGGGGCCTCCATCTCAGCCATCAAAGGAGCACCCACACCAGTCGTCTCTCCAGCCTCCCAGCACACTGGGACCCCGCAACCACTTAGTGTCCTCTCCCCAACTGTCAACACAGGTGGCAGGAATATATGGGTGAAGTCCTCGGCCCGCTAGTCAGTCTCAGCACCATCAGGTGCAAAGTGTCCCAGGCAGGTAACCTAGACATGTACCTTCTCCATGAAGGCAGTTCTTCAGAATCTGAATATTGGGCACCCATGTAATCCATGAAGTCTCGGTGCAGACCTCTCCAGAGCTCCACACGCTCCTCCACCACAGCCTGTGCAGTCAGGGGGAGAATGGCTTCCAGGGGGTCTCCCCAGGCAGCATGGATTATTGTTATATGTACATTAAACTGAAAATTGTGGAATCCCTCTAATCTATGTATAGATCTACTGGTCTCTATTGTTTTAGGAATATCTTGAATTATGTGTGATTTCAGCAACGTATACTGGCTGAAAAAAGAAATTTTATCTGTAACTAAATCTTTTTTGTTTTTCTGGGAATCGAACAAACTCAGGGCCAGGGCCTTGTGCTGCCAGGCGCTGGGCTGCTGAGCTACATCCTGGCTCCTAAATCCTACCAAAATATACTTTTATGTTTGTTATAGTTGGGCTGGTTCCCTTTTGACAGAGATAATTGAACCTTTGGAATAGAGTTAGCCCCCTCAAGTGTTTATGTATTGGTAGCTGGGTCCCCAGAGTGGTGATGTTGAGAGATTGGGGGTCTTTAAGAGGTGGGTCATAGCAAGAGTTGATTAGGTGTTAGGGTCCCCACAAGGGATTAAGGTAGTTCTTGCAGGAGCTTGAGTTAATGCTCAAGAGAGTTGTTCTAAAAAGAGCACACCTATCCTCTTCCCCAACCTTTGGCTGTCTTGCTGTGTGATCCTTCCCTCATCCCATCTGCCATGAAGTGATGTAAGGAGCAGGGCTCACTTGAGCCATTACTATGCTGTTTGGACTTGCAACCTACAAAACTATGAGCTAAATAAACCTACTTTCCTTAAAAGATAGCCTGCCTCAAGTATTTCACTATAGTAACAAAATGTACTAATACAATAATATAGTTTCTCTAGAAAACAAAACTGGACAGGTATTGGGGGACTTCGTTCATTTCTTTTCATTGCCAGACTTGTCTGACTTTTATAATTTGGGGATCTTGCAGAATGTTAATAGAAGGTAAGCTGGAAAGGTAGAAGATGATGAAGTAAAACATATTAATTTCATTTAGAGAGAAGAATCACCTAGTTTTCCTTTAGCTTAGTGGTCTTTTTAAAATTTAGTTTTGGCTATCTAATTGAAAAAAATTAGAATTATAGGCACAACTGCCACCCCAGCACTTTTCACTTCAGACAAGCTCCCTACCATTTGTGTTACTGTTTTCTGTTTGTGTGTGTATGTGCATGTGTGTGTGTGTGCGTGTGTGTGTGTCTTAGGATTGAATTCAGGGCTTTACAAGTACTGGGTAAGTACTCTACCATTGCAGTACATCCCCAGATTTTTTGAAAATTTTGAGACAGGGTCTTGCTAAGTTGCCCACGCTGCCTCTGAACTTGCAATCCTGCCCCAGCCTCCTAAGTAGATGTGACTGAAAGCATGT